TTCGTTCTTTTTTGCCAGCTGCCTAGAACAATGCCCGGCCCATAGTATCTGCTCAATAAATATCTGTTGCATGAGTGAATGAATGACCTCTATTGGTTTAGCATTCTCCCCTCCAGAAAAGATGTAATTAACTTGCTTGCTTAATATCTTACCTTCCCCACTACACTGTAAGTCACAGGAGGGAGAAACCTCTCATCTTTAGCCCTGGCCTGCAGCAATCATGAAGCATTTTAAAATTCGATTGCAACTCAAACGGAGAGAAAGGAACCACAGAGCAAGCCTCGGGATTCTGGAGGAGGGCATCTATCACTGCTACTCCCCTATGGTCTGGGGGGCCTGGGTGTAGGGGTGTCACTGACCGGTGCAGGATGAGCAGCAGGTAGAGGAGGCAAATGGCAAAGGTGGAGCACAGGTAGGTGATGGCCAGGTGTGGGCGGGGCGGGTAGAACCCATAGAAGAGAGGAGACCATTCTAGAAAACCCTGGGGGAGGAAAGGCAGGGCAGGGGTCACCACGGGGCTGGGCAGAGGCAGGGTTCAGGGAGCTGGGCCAGCAGGGTCGGGGGTCCCTGAGGGCACCAAGGCTCAGAGCGGGGGCTTCCCAGGGACCCAGGCACGCACCTCTCCGGAGAGGAAATTGAAGAGATGGGTGGAGAAGGTGACCAGGCTCTGAGAGCCGGGCATGTAGGAGCCGCAGGGTGAGGAGGCGTTAGGGGCAGGGGGACCAGGGGGAGCCCCTTCCAACCAGGTGGGCAGCAGAATCATGCAGGCTGTAAGCACGGAGGCCAGCACGTTGAGAAGCAGCAGGAAGCGCAGCAGGGAGAAGTAGGACTTGGTGCCGGCGCCAAACTGGCCTGCAGGGGGCAGCAGACAGGCCGCGGGCTCCTTTCTGGTCCCAGACCCCTCCTCCCTCAGACCCGGGAGTCCAGCCCCCAGCCCCTCCTCCCTCAGGCCCAGGGGTCCAGCCCCTCCCCCCTCAGGCCCAGGGGTCCAGCCCCCAGACCCCTCCTCCCTCAGACCCAGGGGTCCAGCCCCCAGCCCCTCCTCCCTCAGGCCCAGGGGTCCAGCCCCTCCCCCCTCAGACCCAGGGGTCCAGCCCCCAGCCCCTCCTCCCTCAGACCCGGGAGTTCAGCCCCCAGCCCCTCCCCACTCAGGCCCAGGGGTCCAGGCCCCCAGCCCCTCAGCCCTCAGCCCCAGGAGTCCAGTCCCGTCCCAAGATGCCAGACCAAAGCCCACCGTACCCCCAATCCTCTTCAGCGTCCAATCCCAGGGCTGCACGGAGCGCAGGCCTTCCCGCACCTTCTCCTTGGACCTCCGAAGCAGAAGAGTCCAGTGGGTGGCCCTGGACCCCGAGCCCTGAGCCACTTGGTTCCTGGCAAGGCCCTGTCTGGGAGCGAAACAGAGTCAGACACAGAAAAGGAGGGGCCTAGTGGCCCCAAATGGAAACCACCCACATGTAGAAACAACCCAATCCTTGAACCAGGAAGTTAGTTGAAATATATTCCTAACACGGGATACTCCATAGCAATGAAAAGAAACACACCTAATGCTCGGCATAGGAAGACAGACAGAAAATAGACTGCAGAGTTCGATTTACACAAAGGCACAGAGCAAACACTGTTAAACTCTTCTCTTCAGGGCTGCGCACACAGGTGGCAACGCTACGAAGAAAAGCAAGGAATGATCCTCAGTGAAAGTCTGGGAAGAAGAAAGCGGGGGTGCCCTAGGTGGCGTTTACCTGGACCCTCACTTTGGGAAAACTCTTTAAGTTTTTACATGATGTTTCATGCACTTTTCTGTCAGCAAATACCATCATAAAGTAAAAAATGAAAAAAAAAAGAAGAAAGGTAGGTGTGATACTGTGATTTATAATAAGAAATATATATTTGGTAGTGTATGATGATCTTACATGTGGAATCTAAAAAAACCGAACTCAAAAAAATAAATAAATAAAAATTAAAACAAACAAACCAACCAAACTCAAAAGGGCGTAGGATGGTGTTTACCAGGGGCTGTGGGGGTAGGGTAGGGAAATGGAGACGTTGGTCAAAGAGAACAAACTTCCAGTTATAAGATGAATGAATTCCGGGGATTTAAGGTACAGCATGGTGATTGTAGGTCATAATACTGTGTTGTACACTTGAAGCTTGGAGAGTAGACAGTCAATGTTCTGACCACTGAAAAGAAACAGTAATTATTTGACGTGATGGAGATGTTAGCTAGCACTACTGGGGTAATCATTTTGCAATATATCAATATAAGTACAGGGCTTCCCTGGTGGCACAGAAGACCCCACATGCCGCCGAGCGGCTGGGCCCGTGAGCCGTGGCCGCTGCGCCTGCGCGTCCGGAGCCTGTGCTCCGCAACGGGAGAGGCCACAGCAGTGAGAGGCCCGCGTACCGCAAAAAAAAAAAAAAAAAAAAAAAATCAAATCAACACATTGTACACCTTAAACGTGCACGATGCTGTATGTCAACTGTATCTAAATAAAACTGGAAAAAACTTTTTAAAAAAGAAGTATATATTCGGTCTTTGTCCTGTTTCTGGCATACAGTTCCTAAATCCTTGAATTTCCTAAGTGGTGACAGTGATAAAGGTGCGTTTTTTTATGTTAATGAGGTTATATCTCCAGGTAGATAGCGTCAGAATTGAGTTGAGCTGTTGGACATCAAGCTAGTGTCAGAGCGTTGCTTGGTGTGGGGAAAATTCTCCACATATCGGAATCGGTGTCAGGATTATGTAAGGAAAAGGGTCAGTTTTCAAGGGCTCCCTGAAGAGTCACACAGGACCCCGTTCTCGGAAGGGCGTCCCACTTGCTGTGCTGTTTGAATGCTGTGCTGTTGCCGTCTTAAGATGAGTACTAATTGTGGAACAGGAGACCCAGCATTTTCAGCTTTCACTGGGTACTGTAAATTATGTAGCGGGAGAGAGGCAAGAAAGAAATCAAGGAGTGATAGGCTTTGGAGAGGGGGAGGCAGAGACAGACATAAAGCAGAGAGGAAAAATACCTGACAGTTTCAGACACCCAGAGAGAAATAGAGGCAGACAGCCTTGGAGGGACAGAAGACACAAGAGACGAGAACTTGGGAGAGAGAGAGGAGAAAGAATCCCGGAGGCAGGACTCCTTGGAATCAGAGAAGCACAAACACAGACTGGAGAAAAAGGAACCCAGAGGCAGCTCTGAGAGAGGCAAGGACCGACAGAAGGACAGAGTGAGATGGAGACAGAGCCTCCAACAAGTGGGAGGATGGTCCACACCTGGCTGGGAAGTGGGAGGTGGGCCTCACCTGTGTGCCCGTCTGGCCTGCATGGGCCACGGCAGTTCCCGGGAAGGGCCAGGCTCCTGCAGCTCCTTTTGTGTGGCTTCTGCAACCGACTGGATGCTCCTCTGTCCGTCCTCCTCCTCCTCCAGGGCCCCCCAGGGCAGCACCCCAGGGCCTCGGTACCGAAGGGTAGCAGCACTGGGGAGCTCATTAAGCACAGAGGACAGCGATGGACCTGGGGCAGGAGGACAGGCGGCTGGGAGAGTCCAGGCGTCCAGGCCCCCGGCCCCTCCTCCCTCAGACCCAGGATCCAGACCCCCGGCCCCTCCCCCCTCAGACCCAGGATCCGGGACCCCAGCCCTCCCCCCTCAGACCCAGGATCCGGGCCCCCAGCCCTCCCCCCTCAGACCCAGGGGTCCGGGCCCCCAGCCCTCCCCGCTCAGACCCAGGGCTCCAGGCCCCCAGCCCCTCCCCCGTCAGATCCGGGAGTTTGGAATCCCCGGTCCCAGACACCAGCCCCATAACCCTGCCAGGCACCCAAGTGTGGCCCCTCCAGGCCCCCCCTGCCCCAGGGCTGAGGAGTCCGCTCCTCAACTTCCTTTTCCGTCTAATTCAGGTTGTGATCCTGGCCCCTCCCATTCCTCAGATAGCCTCAGATATTCCAGCCCCTAGCCCTCTCCTCCTCCAAGACTCCGGGTCTCCAGAATCCTCCCCAGGACCCAGAAGTCCCAGCCTCTGGGTCCCCTCTCCCCCAGAGACCCGGGAGCCGAAGCCCCTCCCCCTTCGGCCCTGGGGTCCCAGGAGGCAGACCTCCGTTCTCCGCCTCCCTCAGGACTTCTGCCGACCAGGGGAGTGGGACCTGACCTTCCTCGGGCTCCCCTACCTGTTCTGGTCTCCCGGGGTGCCGGCCATCCCCCAGAGGAGGCCCAGGCCTCCGGTTCCCACATCGGGCTCTCTTCAATGGCCCCAGCCGCGGATGTGTTCCCGTCTCTAGGGCCAGCAGAGCAGGGACTGCCCCAGGTGAGGGAGGAGCCTGAGACAGGGGCATACCTGGCCGCCAGGTGGCCCGGAGGAAATACCCGGCACTTCCCATAAACTATCAGGGCCTCTGCTCCGAAAGGTCTCCTGGGAGCTGAAGTCCACAGATGCCTGCGTGGCTCCCCGGGGCATGGGTGGTAGCACATCACAGAGGGATGCGGTGGTACGAGTCCCCCCACATTGATCACCCACAGACATTCCCGCGTAGAGTCCTTGTGTGACACTTTATTAGGAGAGATTTACACATTCTGAGCCTCTTAGGTCAAAGGATGACAAGAGGGTGACAGGAGCGCTGGGACCCGTAGGTGGCTCAGATGGAACCTGTGAGAACCATAGTCCAAAGGCCTGCACACATGCGCCTCGGCTTCTCCGTTCCAAGAGGGTTATACTCCGTACTGGCCTACCGAGACAAGAACGGAAGCGACCAGAAAGAGGCCCCCCAATCCCAGAGCCTGCCCTGAAGCTCCTAACCCCACGCTGGAGCCAAAGAAGGGAAATTTGCCCAAGAAACCAGGTCGCCCATCGGCCCCTGCTGTTGGGGTAAAACGCAGCTCTCTCTGAATACCTGGCGCTGGGCAGGGACAAAGGGAGATTCTTGTCTGGACCATGTCTTGATTTTTACAGGAGGGAAAACTGATCATCTGGGGCCCTCAGGGCGGAGGCTCTTCCAGGCGCGGTGCTGAGCTGGGGAAGCGGGAATCCTCTCCAGGCCCGCTGCCATATTCAGGACTCTTTCCGGGAAAGGAGACAGCAGCAGGCTTCACAGAATTCCCAGGCCGAAGCTTGGCGGCTGGACCGACGGCAGAGGGAGCGTCGTGACAGCTTACTCCTCCCGAAGCTTTCCTGAGGCAAGGCTGGTGGCGGGGGGCGCGGTCTTCCGCCGACTGGGGCTGCCCCCACCTAGAGCCAGCCCCAGCCCGAGGGCCACCAGGGCCAGGACGTGGATGCAGAAGTAGATGGAGGCCCAGTACCGCAGGGTTTCGCCCAGCGAGAGCAGCACAAAGCCCATGCACATGTAGTCATAGGCCCGCATCTTCAGGAACCAGTGCACCCAGTCCCAGGCTTTCTGGCCCCTGGGGCTGAGCCGCCCCCGAAAGGCCGACTCCAGCCGGCCCTCAGCTGCCAGGCATAGCGGGATGGTCAGGAAGCTCAGGTAGTAGCCAGGGTGCAGGCCGTGCCAGTAGGCGCTCAGTAACATGGTCCAGGCGCTCCTGGGGGAGGGGCTAGGAATCAGGACCCGGAGTGCAGGCCCCCTGCCCCCTTCCCTGAGACCCGGGGGCCCAGGCCCCCAGCCCCTCCTCCCTCAGGCCCGGGACTCTCTACTCGCTCCTCAGAAACCCCCTCCCAACACTACCTTCCCTCAGGACCCAGGAGTCAGGTCCCCAGCCACCTCCTCTTTGAGGATCCAGGAAGATAAATCATGACCCGTGAAGACTCAGAAATCTCCAGCCATGGTCCCTTCTCCTTAAGGGCTCCAAATGCTATCCCCTGAAGACCCACAAATTTAGGCTCTGATCCCCACTTCCACAGAGAACCCACAAATCAGAGCAGGTTTGCCAAGGACTGTGGCCTGAGTTCCTGCCCACGGGCATCAAGTTTTCCCTCTGGTACATCAGGGTGTTAAAACTGCAAAAATAACCTAATGACAGAATGACACTGACCACCCTTTCCGGGGGGGGGGGGGGGGGGGGAGGGCAGAGGGTGTAAGGGTCCATAAAAAGGTTGAATTTTCCCTGTTGCCAACAGGGAAGATCTTTTCCTCCTTCTCTTTTCTTAGGCCATTTCCTTGGAAAACCTGTTTGAGCATCTTTCCGTTATCCTTTGGATACAGATGGAAATCTCTGAAATGGTAAAGTAGGCCTCTAGAAAGTGTTACAGTCAGGAATGCTCTTCTCGAGGGCCTGGGAGCCATCTCTTTGAAGCCTAGGTGTGGAGGGAGATAGAGCCTGTCTCCCTGCAGCTCTGAGGGTTTATCCTAGGTACCAGCTCCGAGCTGTAAACACCTGCTGGTCATAGAGATAGGAGTTTCATTCTTCCTTCAGATAAAGACACTTAACTGGCACGGGTGGCTACCCCAATCACCAGGTGAACTTGGGATGAACGTGAGAGCACGCAAAGCGCTTGTGGAGTCCTCCGACATGAGGACCAGTTACGGTGTCTCTTGAGAACACGCTACGTAAAGGGCTCTAAGTGGCGACGGAGAGGACAAAAAGGGTGAGATTTCCAGACAACTAATAAGGACCTACTGTATAGCATAGGGGATTCTACTCAGTACTCTGTAATGGCCTATTTGGGAAAAGAAGCTAAAAAAAGAGTGGATATATGTGTAACAGATTCACTTTGCGGTACACCTGAAACTAACACAACACTGTAAATCAACTATACCCCAATTAAAAAAAATAAAAATAAAAATAAAATGGATGGATGGATGAACTGTTAAAAAAAAAAAGGCTGAGCTTTTTTGGTAATCTTGGTAATCTCAGCAGTGGGTTACTTGAGCCATGCCTCGAAATCTGGTTTAATGCTTATTCAATAACTGTTGGGTTTTTTTTTTTCCTATTTTTTGGCCACGCCGCGAGACATGCAGGATAATAGTTCCCAGAACAGGGATCGAACCCACGCCCCCAGCAGTGGGAACACGGAGTCTTAACCACTGGAGCGCTGGGGAAGTCCACAAAACTGTTTTCTTTCTTTTCTACCTCTGGTGGAGAGAGAATGCTCTGGGTCGGCAGAACTGAAAGCAGTTGACGGTAGGACACACATCAGCGCAAGCCCGGCATCTGTAACCTCCACGTGTGCACACCTGAGCTCTTGGCCGTTCCGCCACCTACTCTTCTCTCCCTGCTTCGCTGCCCCCCTGCCCCCCACAGTGAACACTCTCCAAAGAATCATCTAGGCTCCCCCTTCCGTCCTCTCTTGAACCCCCTCCAATCCAGCTTTCACTTCAGCCCTCCACTCTCCTCCGGTCAAGGTTGCCGGGGGCTTCCTCCCATCACGCCCCACCCAGTGGTCACACTCGCCTTCAGCGCACTGAAGCTGCTGGCACCTGCAGACGCACAATCCCCTCCTCGTTCCTTCTCTCGGCTTCCTTCTGGGAATGAATACTTTGCCGATTGTCCCCCTACGCCACTGGCTGCATCTGTGCTGGCTCTTCCTCCTGGTCCCTAGTCTACACCAGGGTTTCTCAATCTTGGCACTACAGACACCTGGGGCAGGATCATTTCTCCGGGGGGGGGGGGGGTGGGGGGAGGTAGAGTGCTGTCCTGTGCAGCGCAGAGTGTTTAAGCGCATCTCTGGCCTCCACCCACTAGATGCCAGTAGCACTCCCCATTGTGACAAAAGCGTCTCCAGACATTGCCAGTGCCCCCTGGGGGTGCAGCACAATTGCTCCCCCCCCATGGAGAATCCCCGGTCTAAACGAAGGCGCACTCTGTGCTTCGACCTGAGGCTCAGTCCCAGAGCTTTAAGCATCATCCACACCTGCTGACGCTCACGTGTCCACTTCTTACACCAACCCTTGCATTACGTACCAGAATCACAACTAACTGCCTAGCCAACAACCCCGGCTGGAAATCTAACAGCCACCTCAAAGTCAGGGAGACTAAACCCAAGTCTAGCTTCCTCATCCTACCCACTCCTGAAACTTCCTTCTGCCCAGCTTCCCCTCCTCAGGAAACAGCCCTTCTGTGCCCTACCATCACGCACAACCCATCACCTGGGCATCGGGCTGTTTCCCACCTCCACCTCTCAAATGCATCCACTTCCAGGCCACTGGTCCCTACTCTAGGATACCATCAATGCCCACCGGGCCAGTCCCTGCTTTATCGCCTGATCCCCTCCCCCACCTCAGCCCCTTCCCACACAAGGTCGGAGCAGATCTTTAAATCACAAATCAGATCACACACCCCGGGAAGTCTAGCTCCAGAGGCACCATGACTGACTTCTTCATTGTAAGAACGTGTCATGATGTACCCTGACCTCATCCGGTGACACTCGGCAGGCTGCCTAAGATCAGACCTCGGATCCTGGGTCTCTTCATCTGTAAAATGGGGATGATGAGAGCTCCTACTTCCTAAGGTTGTAAAGATAAGTTTATCTTATCTTTACAGAAAGTCTCCACTCAAGAAATATCAGATGAGCGAAGGAGAATACAAGCTAATCAGGCCTCACATTAAGTGCATTTCACACTTTATCTCACTTATTCCTCACATCAACCTATGAAACAGGTAACAGCCTTACCCCCATTTAAGAGTTGAGGAAACTGGGTTCGGGGGGGATAAATTAGGAGTTTGGGATTAACATATATACGCTACTATATAAAAAATAGATAACCAACCAGGACCTACTGTATAGCACAGGGAACTATACTAAATATTCTGTAGTACCCTATAAGGGAAAAGAATCTGAAAAAGAATAGATAGGCAACCACTGGTGGTCCAGTGATTAGGACTCCGCGCTTTCACTGCCAGGGCAGGGTTCAAATCCTGGTGGGGGAACTAAGATCCCACAAGCTGCTCAGTGAGACCAAAAAAAAAATAAAAGAATTAATATATGTGTGTGTGTGTGTGTGTGTGTGTGTGTGTGTGTGTGTGTATATATATATATATATATATAAAAAACTGAATCACTTTGCTGTACACCTGAAACTAATACATCATTGTAAATCAACTATACTTCAATTTTAAAAAACTGGGGAAAAATGCATATATGGGGAGGGTGGGAGGGAGGCACAAGAGGGAAGAGATATGGGGATATATGTATATGTATAGCTGATTCACTTTGTTATACAGCAGAAACTAACACACCATTGTAAAGCAATTATACTTCAATAAAGATGTTAAGAAAAAAAAAGAAGAGGTAACTTTAAGAGCTAGGGGATTGTTAATTGTGTTTGATTTTGCTTTTGGGAAAGAGATTGCGTTTTCCTCTTTTATTTCTACAGTCCATGTTTGGGTGGGGCCCCTGCTCCCACAGTTTGTTTAAATTTTTATGTTTACTCGCCACAAGTTACATAAAGGTTTACAAAGCAGAGTGATTATTTCAATGGCTTCCTCTTGCAGTATGCTGAAGCAATTTATCTTGCTGGGCTCCAAGTAAATGGCTGTATCTCTTGAGGTTTAGTCAAGGGTAATTAAAGTAAGCATTTGGAATTAAAAAAAAAAATCATGTATGGGAATTTTTGAAATTAAAAAAGTTGAGGAAACAGGGGTCAACTAACTCCTTAAGGTTTCTTAGTAACTAGCAGGGTTAAGATTCCGGAAAGTCTAGCTACTGAGTCCACAGGACTGCGTTTGTGGAGCGGGGCTGACTTTAAGGAGGTAGAAACGGAAGCCCAGAGAGGAGGAAGAATTGACCCCGGAATAACGCAAATCAGAGCCAGAGCAAGGCTCAAGAAACTACAACTCCCATGACCCTCAGGGGTGGAGGCCCAGCGGGGGAAGACGCTGGCGACCCCAGGGGCAGCTGGGAGATGTACTTCTGTGCCGTCCTCCGAGACAGTTGGGCTCACCTGAAGACGTAGGAGCGCGCGGGCGCGCTCTTGTAGATGTACTGCGCCAGCCACCACTGCACCGTCATGTTCCAGTACCGCATGCCATCCCGCACGCGCACGCAGAAGTCTGTGCCATAGCAATCGATGTTGCGGATGGTCTCATAGTCGTACTCCGTGGAAGCCGCTTTCTCCGGACTGGGGGGGTGGGGGGGGAGGATGAGGGTGGGGGACAGACATGCAGCTCAGCCAGGCCCCCTCCTGACTCTGGCTACTGTCCCAGCCCCGATGCTAAGGAGAGGATCCTGGCCAGGCAAAAGTTCTCTGGCTATCACGTTTGCTAGGGCAACAGGGGAGGGTAGCCCAGACTGAGCGTTTTTGGGAAGTGCACAGTTCATCAGCAATAGGGTTCTCCTCTTTGGTAAGGGGGCCTGCAACAGCCAGGAAAAGTCTGGAAGGGCCACGGTTGCTAAGCTATGAGTCCTTAGCAACCTGACCTGCCAATGGTCTCAGATGCTAGGGAAAGGCCATTCCTTAGCAACCAAGCTCAGCATATTCAGAGAAGCCTCCAAGTAGTCCATCCTAAATTGTTGGACACTTCGGTTGTTAGGGAAGCAGCATCCCTAACAATGAGGTGGTCCGTGGTTGCTAGGGAGATGTTTTAGGCCCATCTGACACCTTGATGGTCTCTGTTGCTAGGGAAAGGGCATTCCTTAGCAACAAGGCCTATGATGTTTAGAAAAGCTTCCTGAAGGGGCCTTCTCTGGCTATTGGTCCCCAGGATTGTTCTATAAGGGTCATCTCCAGTAATACAGTGGTTCCTGGGTCACTGGTGCCAATCCCCCCCCAGAAGTGGGGGATATCCTCGGCCCACCTGAACCGTTGGCAGCTTCCGATAATGGAAGGGGGGCATCCATTAGGGGCGGGGCCCAGAACGTTTAGAAAAGCCTTCAATTCCTGCTTGGCATCTTCTGGGGGATACCTTCTCCTATGGCAGTGGCAGGAACTCTGCAGGGGGGCCACCTCCCCTGCAATGGGTGGCACTTTGTGACTACTAGGGGATTGCCCAACCCTTGTAAGAAGGAGTAGCTCAGAATTTACACCAAAGGGCTGCTTTCCCAGCCCCAGCCTGAAAGCTGACCATGACCGCTAGGGACAGAGGGACAGGCCATTCCTGGTTGCTAGGAGTGCCATTTCCCTAGTAACACAGGAGCAACATATCCTTAGCAACAAGGGTCTGTAGTTACTAGCTGTGTGACTTATCTAGTGATGAAGGAGCTAGGGGGCTAGTTTTGCCAACAACAAGGTTAATTGATAGTTACCAGGGGATTTCCTGGGCAACAGCAGGAAGGCGACTTGCAGTTGCTAGGAATGGTGTCCCCTCTGCTAGAGGACAGCAAGGTCAAGGATGCCACTTCCATAGAAAAAGAGGGCAACAGCAGGCTGTTATGTGACGACATCCCATGGGGAGGGGCGTGCTCGCTCCCAGCAACAAAGGGGCAGTTTAGGGATGCCGTTTCCGTAGCAACAAAGAGCAGCTTTCTGGCAGGAAGGGGCAGTGCTGTTGCTAGGGAATGTTCTCCCTAGCAACAAAGGGCTACTCCTCACTGCCCAACGATGGCACCCTGAGCAACCAGGAACTACTGGGTTACTGGGGTGTCGCTTCCACGGCAACAGAGGGACAGCGTGTGATTGCTGTAACACCTTCCTTTTCCTAGCAACAGAGAGCAATTCACCATCCCAAAGGGGGACAAGCGCTAGCAACAGGGGGCAATCCGTACGTATCAGGACTACTGTTTCCTTAGGACAGGGGAAGGCGGGCTGTGGTGGCTGAGGGTGACACTCTGCTGACGACAGGTGGGAGACCTGCCCCCCCTGCTCCCCGCTATCCTCCCTGCTAGGGGCAGGGCCAGCCCGCGGTGATTGGGCCTGCCGGGTCTTGGGACACCTCCCTCCCGCCGCCTGACCTGCTGGGGGGCGGGCATTGGAGGGTGGGGCCGCCCCCGGCCCGGGCTTTGGCGGCCACGGGGTAGGCCCCGAAGCCGGCGGCAATGCAGCCGCACTCGGCGGCAATCCAGGCCACGTAGAAGCGCATGCGGAAGGCGAAGAAGACGGGGATCATGTAGAAGAGGCGGGCGGGCAGCGGGCGGGCGTAGAAGGCGTCCTCACGCACGGCCTCCAGCGGGAACAGGTGGGAGGAGAGCAGGAAGAGCAGGCCGAAGAGCGGGGCCGGCCAGGCGCGCCGCAGCAGGGGCCGCAGGCTGGGCACGGCCCCGGGGAAGGGCTGCTCCAGCCAGTCCAGGTACGTGCGGTAGCGGAAGAACGGGCCTGCGGCGGGAGGCAGGGCAGCTGGTCAGACACGGTACACGTGGGGGGCGGGGAGAGCTCCAGTCTCGGGGCGGGGTTGGGGGACGGGGAAGATGGACCAGAGATTCGGGAGCTGAGGTGGACCAGGGAGAGAGGAAGAAGAGAGAGAAGCAGAGAGGGGAGTGGGGGTATGAAACCCAGAGAGAAAGGGACAAGGAAGCGGAGAAAGGGGAGGACAAGGGACTCGGCAGGAAATAAAGAGGGACAGACACTTATGGAAAGGGACACAGAGCCTGAGAATGAGGGGTATGGAGACACGGAGACAGATGGAGACAGACAGACCGGACCTGGAGGGATGGGGTTGGGGGTGAGCTGGGTATGAAGGAGTGACAGGAAGTGCAGCAGTGCATGTGCAGAGGAAGAGTGGTGTGAGAAGAAATGAGAGGGTGGCAGGGGTGGGACCCTTGGGGGATCTGATGAGGACTTTGAGTTTTGTTCTAAGCGCTAGGAAACCAGTATTGGCTCTCCCACCAGGGAAGTGCTGGATTGTCATTATGCCTTTTCATGAGACCCCTCTGGCCACTGAGCAGGGAGGGGCTGCAGAGGGGCAGTGTTGGAAAAGAGGAGACTGTTCTTGGCCTAGGGAGGGAGCAGACTGGGGTTAACAGAAGTGTTAAACGTCTTACACGTCACAGAAGACCACACACTGTATGATTCCACTTATAAATGTTCAGGATAGGCAGATATATAGAGATAGAAAGTCAATTAGTGGTTTCCAGGGAATGGGGGCAGACGGAGGTTTGAGAGACGACGGCTCTTTGTACAGGGTTTTGACGAAATTACATGGCAGTGATGGTTGCACAACTCTGTGAACAGACTAAAACCCAGCAAGCTGGATGTGGTTACAAGTAGGTGAATGTGGTAATCATAGCTCAATACAGTTGCTATGAAAATGAACACCTTCTAAGAGGTCAACATTAGTGAAAAATATTTTCTGAAACTAAAACTGGGATCATAACCTGTGAATGCTCGTTGCCCAGGCAGCAGAAATGTTAGGGTGATGTAGATCTTTCTCCTTTATCTCCTGTTTGCTCCCCAAAAGTTATAAGGAATCACTGAGGCTGAGAACAGTCTGTCTCTACACTGGAGGGGCCCTGGGACCAGGCGGGAGAGTCAGACATGGACTCGGGCATAGATGCTCACCCTCAGAGCAGCAGATGCTGGAATGGAATGTGGGAACGTGGAACAGGCACCAAACTCCAGGCAGAGGATGGAGACAGAGGGTGAGGAGCTGCGGAGGCAGGCCTGCGGGGCGGGCACGCTCACCTGTCATGATTCCCACGTAGCAGTAGCTGTAGCTGAGCGTCTCCATCAGAGAGGGAACGTCAGGCAGCAGCCCCAGGCTGGGCCCCTTGCTGAAGCCTGAGGCCATTTCCTTCCTCTGGGCCACGTGCAGGTCCTGTACTTCACTGGCCAGACTCACCAGCTGGGAGGAAGGGGTGTAGGGAAGGACAGGTCAGACCCGGGCTTCCTCTCACCCACCTCCCTTTCACTACCTCTCTGAGCAGCCAACAGCTGCTGCAGCCCCGCGCAGATGGGCGCTGAGGCTCTACTCCACGGGCAGCTCTGGGCATCTAGTCGTGAGCAAGGGCTTCTTGGTGACTCTCGCAGGGCTCACTCCTGGACCCCTCTGTCTTTTTTCTCTGAGTTCCATCTTTCTGGGTTCTCCTGCAGTTTGTGACTTCAGATACCACCCACAGTGTAACCCGGTGGGACTTCTCCTCCAAGCCCCAAGCCTGGTCATCAAGCTGCCTCTAGGGAATTCCCTGGCGGTCCAGGGGTTAGGACGCGCGCTTTCACTGCTGGGGCCCAGGTTTGATGATCCCTGGTCGGGGGGAACTAAGATCCCACAAGCCATGTGGCGAGATCAAAAAAAAAAAAAGAAAAAAGCTACCTCTTGTCATTAATACTTGGTATCTTCCAGGCACCTCGAATTGAACACATCCAAGGTAGAACACGGTATTAGCCTCTCCCCAAAGTGGGTCTTCTCCTAGTCTCTGCCATCAGCAAATACCACCACCATCCAATTAATTGCTTAGGCTGGAAACCTTCCTCACTCCCCGAATCGAATCCCTTAAGTCTCTGGAGTCTGTCCCTCTCGCTCTGCCTCCACCACTGGGCTGAATATGTTCGGGCTCCTTCTTCAGATCTGCTCTCTACCCTTCTCCGCACAGACCCCAGGCCAGCTCAACTTCCACAGGCCTGTGTCTCCCAGCTTCCCCCTGGGTTTAGCTGGCACAGAGCCCCAGGCAGAGATGGAGGAAGGCAGGAGTGAGGCTTGGGTTTTTATTCCCTTGTATTGATAAGATCACCTTGGGCTGGCCGTGACCCTTGATAACCTTCTTGAATTGGGGGGGCTCTACCCAAGTCTTTTTCCTTCCCAGCTCCACTACCTGCCCCTCCTCTCGTGCCCTGGGGCCCAGGACCTCTCCCCATCCTGCCCTCAATTTCTCCTAAATGCCGGGCTTCCTGGTGGGGCCCTGACTGACCTCCCCACAGGCCTGCATCAAGCCACCACTGTTTGTCAGCTGGACTTTGATAAAAGAGACCCACGTCACCCCATCTTGCCCTTTCTGCTTCAACTCGCGCAGCATCGGGAGGAAGGATGTTTAAACCTGTGAATCTGGTCACACCACCTCTTCTGGCAACAAATCAAAAAACCTCTGGCAGTGGATCTTGGGCCCTCACAGGAAGAAGTCGGGACCCCTCACCTTAGCCAACGGGGCCCTGCATGGTTTGGCCTGGGCTGCCTGTGCTCTTTCCCGCTCCTGATGGACGGTCCATGTGGCTCGTCCACTGCTGATGGGACTCAGCCTGCCCCCTTCCACACACGCTGGTTCCTATGTCCTGAAAGTCTCTTTCTCCAGCTCCCGCTGGGAACACAGGATGCTGAGGAAACCTCATTCACCACCTCACATGACCGTTCTGTTCACTGATACGTAGCACATAGTAGGAACGCACGACTTTACATTCCCGCCGGGGGTGGGGCCTGGGAATCTGTTTTCACCCATCTTCCCAGGTCATGGAGAGCCGGACGTGGTGTCCTGGTTTTGTGTCCTTAACTAAGTGCTACCTCCCCAGAGCTGGTTGTCCTTTGCAAAATGGCTTGCTACAAAGATGCACTTTAGCTCAGCCACCACTCGGCACCCACAGTTACGTAACTTTGGATACTTCTTTACCTCGGGGAAGAGCTGAGAGGTGAAGCCCCGCCCCCGGCGGGGTGTGTGGGAGAGACCATCCCCCTTCCTCTGCCTCCCACGGGAGTGGCTGGGAGGAGAAGGTAAAGTTGGGGTGGTTAACTGGCATACAGCGAGGGCTGGAGGGGAGTCTGACCTTCAGTGTCAGCAGCAGCTGGACGGCATTGGTGAAGGGTGTGGGAGTGGGCAGGCCCAGCAGGCTGAGCGCTCGGAAGAAGAGCAGATATGAGAAGGTCCAGGCTAGGGCCAGGGCGTGGCAGGAGCTGGGCAAAGGCAAGAGGCGTGCTGTGCTAGGTGCAGGGGTGCAGGACATCTTGCCTCAGCCGCCCCTAGATTCCAGCTACAAGTCCTTCCCCACCTCCCCACCTTCAGAGACAGAAAATGAGGGGCGGGGGGTATGGAATGAGCACGACTGAAACAGCCACACAGAAATGCGCAGCAACAGAGAAGAAAATGAGAAGGGGGTTAAGAGAGGCTTCAGGGTGAAGACCCTTCAATCCTCCATTTTTTTCTGGGAGGGAGGGAGGGAGGGAGGACGAAGGGAGAGGGAGAGAGGGGAGGTGGAGAGAGAAAGAGGGAGGGAGAAACAGAGAGAGAGAGAGACAATACCAATACCAACGGTGGCAGGGCCAGCAGACTAGTAACGTCCTCCTCTCTCCTGAATCCACGACATGGATGTAAAGGACCAGGACAAACACACAGGGACAAAGACCCAGAAAAAGGCAGGAGAGGAAGAAAAACAGACCAGACAAATGACAGAGAATCTAGAGATAAACAAGAGACATCCGGAGATGGAGACAGAGAAAGACCCCAAGGGGAAACAGGTCGCTTCCTCCACCCCCTCCATCTCCCCCTCCTCCCCCCACCAAATCCTCACCAGGGCTGGGCCTGAATGAGCGCCCACGTCCCAAGGATGGTGACCAGAGAATGCAAAGTGTGGGGACCACAGGTGAACAAGGTGAGCCCTAGGCCCACAGCTGCTGCCCCCCATCTCTTCAGCCCAGGTCCTGCAGGGAGAAGGCACAGCATAAGCGTGGAACCTTCCAGGGGTCCCCAGCCCGGGCCCCCCCCCCCGTTTATTTTCCACTGGGGAGGGAACCTGACTCACCAGCCTTCTTAAAGAGGAAGCCGATGGGGATAGAGATAAGAAGAACCACTAGATATGTCCATTCTTCAGGCGACATGTTCTGGGGGAGGGGCAGAGGTTCCCAGTGAGAACCCAGGAGTCCGGGCCCCCAGCCCCCCCCCCTTCGAGGATTCAAGGATCCACCCCCCCCAGTCCCCAGTTGTCGAGGATCAAGGAGTCCTACCCTCAGCTCCTCTCCTCTGACAACACAGGAATCCCGACCTCCAGGCCCTTCCTCCTTCGAGGATACAGGAAGCCACCCACAGAACCCTCTTTTGAGAACGCAGGCCCCCAGCTCTCTTCTCCTTTGAGAACCCAGGAATCCAAACCTCCCGGCCCCCTCCTCCTTCGAGTATCCAGCAATCCAGCTCCTCTCTTCTTATCCCCCAGCCTCTCCCTCTTTGAGAACCCTTCTCTCCAGTCCCCCTGCCCCTCTCCGAGAGGGCCTCAGAGGAGCCCAGGCCTCCAGCCTCCACCTCTTTCGGAGCTCCGGTTCCTTCTCCCATCTGAAACCCAGAGAGCGGGCCCGCTCCCGAGCCCCACTCCCGTTGCGCGCACCAAGCGCGGGGTCAGATCCGCTCCGGGCAAAGCCACAGGCGGTTACGCCACCCGGGAGCTCGGCCGCGCTCCCGGCACCGCCCCCGCACCTCATCAGCCCGCCGATCCGCAGCGACCCCACACTGTCCAGACCCCTCCCGGTCTCCGGGGCGCCTCCGCACTCCGCGCCCACCGCACCCCGGCCCAGGCGTGGCGGACCCACCTGGGCCCGCGGCTCCGCGCCGCCCGCCGGGCAGGAAGCAGCCGAGCAGTCCTGGCCCGCGGGCCACCGCGGGTCCGCCACGCCTACCCCGCCCAGCACGCCTCCGCGTCCCCAGCCTCTTTCGGGGCGCCGGCTGGGCTGCGCGGTCCGGGGCCGGCTGTGCAGCGCCCGGCAGGCTCCGGGCTGAGCAGGGACGGAGCCCGGACTGGGCGCAGGGAGCACGAGTCGGCAGCTGGACACGGACTCGGTTCTACCGAGCTGCGAGCATGCAAAGGGGCGGGGCTTCGGGCTCGGAAAGCGGTGGGGCCAGAAGCTTCGGGCACGGAGGGAAGCGACCGAACCTGGGAAAGAGGCGGGGCCTGGAGCTCAGCGTTCGGAATGAGGTGGAGCCTCCGCTTCAGGTTCCTTGGGACAGAGTCTGGAGGCGGTTTGGAGGCGGGGCCACAAGCTTCGGTTTTCTTCGGAGGTAGTCGATTACTGAAGGTCTCTGTTCGGATGTAGGCGGAGCCAAGAGCTTCGGCCGGATGTGGAGGGGCCACAGCGTCTGCTCCCTTCGGAGGTAGTCCGGATACAAGTGACCCTGGGTGGCTGAAAGGCGGAGTCTCATGTTTAGGAGGGAGGCGGAGCCACGGGTTTAGGCAACACGAAAGAGGCGGGGCTCAGGAGTATTCCAAGGGGGCGTGGCAAACAGCTTCCCGGCCTGAAGGGGGCGGGGCCCCGGGCCGTGGTGCCAAGGGGTCGGGTCCAGCGTAAGGAGCCTCCCATTTCCAAGTCCCGGAACCGAGGAGGGAGGTGCGCTTCGAGGGGCGGGCTCAAGGGGGTTTCACTTTAGGGGGAAGGCAGGGATACGGCCCTGCGGGGCGGGTCCCAGACTTCCCGCTCCGCTGAGGTGGCGGCATGACGAAATCGACGCAGGGGGTAGGCATGGGGGGGTGGAGGAAGCAGCGCGTGGCGCGCTACGTAAGGGGGTGGCTCCGCCGGGACTGCGAGCTGGTGTTTACGAGGTGACTAGCTGGTTCTATCAGAGGACTGTGCCACATTCTGAAGGGAGCGCTCACGAGTGGGGTGAGCCCGCCCGAACGGAGAACAGACGGCGGGTGTTCAGGGGACCGGGCTTCCGGCTGTGGGGTTCGAACGTGGGGCAGGAGCTCCAACTGGGGGAGCTTAGGCGGCCGGAGGGGGCGGGGCCTCAGGCTATGTGATTGACTGGAGCCGAGGACGCCCGAACGCTGAACCCCTTATGTTCGGGAGGGGGCGGTGCTGCGGTTCGGCTGAGCCGAGGACTCCCGAACTTACGGACCGGTCACGCTCGGGCGGGGGCGGGGCTTCGTATTCTAGGAGCCCGACTCAGAGCAAGGGGACATGAGGCCGAACCCCGGGGGTTCGGAAAGGGGGGGAGCCAAGTCCCGAGCAACCCGAAGAGGGCGTGGCCTCAGCGGGGCTTTGGCCTCTGGAGGTCCCGACACCTGACGGGGACACCCGAAGGGCGACGCCGAAATGGATCTTTCGAGGGGGGCGTGGCCCGTGCTGGGGCAGGCTTTGCTCCGAGGCGCGTGGGCCGGCATGGCAGTGTTGGCCCAGACCAGAATGTTGACCGCGGGGTCCGAGACGCCCCAGCGGGGCCCCGCGGCTCGGTTCGGGGCGGGGCCTCGTCTCTGTCAGCCCCGGGGCCTGGCGGGATCGCCCGAGGGCGGAGTGCCGCGCCCAGGCGGCGGAGCCTGGCCCTCCCGCTCAGCAGGTGGCGAACGCGGCACTGAGCGAGGCTCCGACCCCCGAGACTCAGGGGCGGGGCTTCGCCGAGACCGTCCCCCCCCCTCCCCCGCCAGGCGGTGGGAGCCCTCCCCGCGGCGCGAATCGGGCGGCGAGAGAAGTGCAGCTCTGTGGGTGACTGCTGTGCCCCTGGCCTCCCGCAGGAGGATGCTGGTGGTGGAGGTGGCGAACGGCCGCTCCCTGGTTTGGGGGGCCGAGGCGGTGCAGGCGCTGCGGGAGCGCCTGGGAGTAGGGGGCCGCACCGTCGGCGCCCTGCCCCGCGGACCCCGCCAGAACTCGCGCCTGGGCCTCCCGCTGCTGCTGATGCCCGAAGAGGCGCGGCTGCTGGCAGAGATCGGCGCGGTAACCCTAGTCAGCGCCCCGCGCCCGGATCCCCGCCAGCACAGCCTGGTAAGGGGGCAGGTTGGGGGCGCCTGCGGGAGAAGAGGCTGGGGACGCCTGCGGGAGAAGAGGCTGGGGACAACAGGTCCCTGAAGTGGGAGGGGTCTAGGAGTCCTGGATTCTGGAATACTGTGGGAGTAGGATACTGGGATCCCCGGGTTCGCGCTCCGAGGTTGGGAGGCGCCAGGGAGTCAGGATTCCTAGCTTCCTAAGGCAGGGCATGCCTGAATCCTGAGATTACAGCTAAGTTTACTTCTCAGGCATTGGCATCCTTCAAGCGCCAGCAAGAACAGGGCTTCCAGGAGCAAAGTGCTCTGGCAGCTGAGGCCCGTGAGACCCGTCGTCAGGAGCTCCTAGAGAAGATTGCAGAGGGCCAGGCTGCGAAGAAGCAGAAGCTGGAACAGAAATCAGGGACCAGCGGGAGCCAGGAGGCCGGTGGGAACCAAGCTGCAGAAGAGAATGAGGCCAGTGCTGGCCAGGCTGCTGGAGAGCATGAGGAAGCGGGTGAAGGTGGGAGTTGGAGTCCAGGGACCAGGGGAAGGAGGGAAGAGATCTTTGGGAATTTTGGCAGGGAATCTAGGGCTGGTTCTCCCTGGGGCTGGGAAAACCTTGCCCCTTGGATTCACCAAACTCTCTTGGATCCTCCCCCCCCCACCAGGCTCCTCCTCTCCCCAGCCAGGGCCTTCAAATGGGGTGGCTCCTTTGCCCAGGTCTGCTCTGCTCATCCAGCTGGCCACTGCTAGGCCTCGGCCCATCAAGGCTAGGCCCCTGGACTGGCGTGTCCAGTCCAAAGACTGGCCCCACGCTGGCCGTCCTGCCCACGAGCTTCGCTACAGCATCTACAGAGACCTGTGGGAGCGAGGCTTCTTCCTCAGTGCGGCTGGCAAGTTCGGGGGCGACTTCCTGGTCTATCCCGGTGAGTTTGTGTTGGGACCTCTGATTGCCACTCATTTCTTCACAATCCCACTACATTCTGCATTTTTCTTTTCTTTTTTTGGTTTCATTTTCTCAGCCTCTGAAACCATGGAAGGACAGGAAACACTTGGGAACCCGTGCTCATTTGAAGGGCAGTTTAGTAAATGAAAAAAGGGGGCAAAAAAAAAGAACAGCTCATAAAAAACATGTATAGTAAAAAGTAAATCATATTTTATACTGTTATGCAGTTACAGACAAATTATTTAAGTAGTCTTAAAAATTGTGGCTCTAGTGAAAGAATATGAAAAGAACTTAAAGTGGAGTACTAAGTAGCCAGAGAATCCTATCAAGCAAGTGGGAAAAAAGCTTGAAAGGATTTGCTCCAGCCCAAAGACAAATAGTTAATAGTTCTGGGAGGGAATCTGCATCAGGAATAGGTAAGGGGGACTTTTGATGAATCAGTTAATTTTTGAATTTATTGTGTAACTTAAAGGTTAAAAAAAAAGTGCAGAAAATCACTCTGTTTGTTCTCCTTAAGAACAAATAGAACTGCCTGATAAGTAGTCAGATCTTAGCCATTCATTGGAGACTGTCCGCTAAGTTCCCTGCAGATGAGTTGACAGGCTTATTCTCTTCTCAGACTAAAATTTAACTGACTGATTTAGGAGCTGAGAACAGTTTCCCTGCCCCATTCTCTATAAGTAACCATGGTTTAATTACTTTGCTACTGTTTTTTGGGGATGATTTTTGTATGCTAAAAAAAAAAAAAAGATTATTTTGGTTTTGCAAATGAATATTCAACTGACTAAACACACAAATGCTAATTTCTACGTTTTTTCTAAGCTTTCAGTTCAATTTATAAAACTTAATTTTTTCAATCTATCAGATTTTAAGGGGACCATTAATTCATGTTTGATCCCATTTACAAAAGGAATTAAGTAGTTTCAAACATTATAAACTGCATTTTAAAATTTAATATATATATTTTTTAAGTTCTGCAGCTTTCTGGTTATGAATCTTGCCAATAACTTAAGTCTAATAAGTTATAACTGGGGTGATTTTTAAGTTTATATTCTTACACTGTTAATAGACTTACTAAAACTTCAGATTAAAATAAGTTTAAATCAATCACTCAATCACACATTTGAAACTAAACCACAAGGCTGACCTGTTACTTGTAATAGGTCAATATTTCTAAAACAATAAATACTCAATGTATCAAATATACATAAAATCTTTGTCTCCTGAAGATTAGTATTCAAGGTCTGAATCTCTTAAATACATATTTCTACGTCTAGCTCTAAATCTTCCTGAGGTGAAAAGATGCTAAGTTTCTTGGAAAACAATTTTGGGGTAACTTCTCAAGCATTTTGATGCTCCTTTCTCAGTTGACTGAGGTATCATAACAACCAGAGAGGTGCCTGGCTCCTGGAGAGGTTCTTGCTGGAAACCCAGCTGCCAGGGAGGGCCTTCATTTATAGTTGCTATGACATCCCCTCAGATGGAAGGTCTTACAGCCTTGCTCTTTTATTTATTTATTTTTTCCCTCCGTTTTATTGAGACATAATTGACATACAGCACTCTATAAGTTTAAGGGGTACAGCATAATTTGACTTATACACATCATGAAATGTTGACTACAGTAAGTTTAGTGAACATCCATCATTTCATACAGACACAAAATTAAAGAAATAGAAAAAAAAAGTTTTTCCTTCTGATGAGAAGCCTTAGGATTTATTTGCTCTCTTAACAATGTTTATATATAATGAACAGCAGTGTTAATTATATTTATCCTGTTGTACATTACGTCCCTAGTACTTGTTTATCTTATAACTGCACGTTTGTACCTTTTGACTACCTTCATCCAATTCCCCCTCCCTCCATCCTCTGCTGCTGGTAACCACAAATCTGATCTCTTTTTCTATGTCTTTGTTTATTTTTGAAGTATAATTGACCTATGGTACTGTGTAAGTTCCTGGTATGCAATATAGTGATTTTATATTTCTATACATTTCAAAACGAGCACCATAAGTCTAGTTACCATTTGTCACCATACAAAGACATTACATAATTATTAACTATATTTCCCACACTGTACATTTCTTACCTGTGAGTCATTTATTCTGTAACTGAAAGTTTGAACTCCTTAATCTTCCTGTTTCCTCCCCCAGCCCTCCTCCCCTCTGACAACCACCTGTTTCT